AAAATTTAAAGTCGTTACAACTCTAAAAATATTTTCCATTATAAATAAAAGTTTGTTATTAAAACATTTTATTTAACACGGAAATTTTTTGTTTACTTGAAAAAGAGATACAAATAATATGTTTACTATACTACCAAATGAGGGTTAAAACCGATTGAACTTTTTCAATTTTTCGTTCAGTTTTAACCGTTTTAACTTATACGACTCGCTTGCGTTTTGTCACAATTTATGATACAACAGTTTATTTTCGACTATTATGTAGCTCTATCAGGTTTAGGAAAAGTGGACCTTAGAAAATGCAGTTCTGGCCAGTAAGTAAGCTAACAATAAGTTGCTATAGATTATAAAACACCAAGCGTGCTCGCTTGTCCTTAAATACCAAACTGCTTCTCTATGGCAGTAAATTGTTTCATATGTTTTGCAGGTGGTGCTAGAGCCCCTGAATTAGACAGGCCGACTTATCATTTATTTTTGGATCAAAGAGCTAACATAAGCACATAACATAGCTAATACTAACATAACTTTAACTTGCGAACTTGTTTGCTCCAATATTGCTTGATAGGTCAGCTCTGATAGTATAGGAGCCTTAGGTGGTGCAAGGTAAATTATGCAAGTCAGTATTTTTCTTGAAAAGAATATAGCAAACAGAATTCGTTATAGATTTCAGAATTTGGAAGGTCAATAGTAAAATATTACCTTTATAATAACAAAATGCCTATAAAGCATTTCGACGCTTTGCATTTTCCAAGCTTAGTATCAATTTTTTTTAATATTATTATTTATTCCTTTATTTTTCTTCAGTAGTTAAAATAATTTTCTTTACCCGGAGGTGTCTACTAATTTCATACAATTTGGACTTGAAAAATTTCAGGGTAGGAAATATCGGACAAAGGCCCTTACACCAAAAAAAAAAAAAAAAGCTATGATGTTGCGTTTCCTACTTCTAAACCTGCAAAAGAAAGGTAACAATTCACTCTAAATAGGGAGGAAGCATAGAATTGAAGGACTAGCGCTGAACGCTTGCTGTTTTGCATTCTGTAGCAATTTTAATGGCCAGTTCTCTGTATTTACCATGATCCACTTTTTCTAAACTTGATACGGCTATGCAATAGTCGAAAGATACAGCCATGTAAAATTTGAAAAAGTTGTTCAATAGGTTTACAATTTAAACATTCTGTAGCAGAGATATTCTTCTGTTCTTTTAATGCAAACAAAAAATTTAGTGTTAAATGAAATGTGATTTGCAAACTTATATTTATTACGAAAAAATATTTTTTTAGCTCTGTATCTACATTTTTTTCCCTTCAAATTTGCAGCTAATAAGTAAGAGCAATAAAAGCTTTGGATTTCTTATCTTTCTGATAATTTTTCATTCTAATTAAAAACTCTGAACAATGAGGATAACTGCAGTTATATTTTTACACAGTGTAACGTATCAAGCTACGTATATAAATAACAGTTCTGTTTCTTATAAAAAACTTTTATTCACAAACAGTAACAAATATGAAGTCCCCGTAACGGGATTGTTAAAATATTAGAGAACAAACTAGAAAAATCCGTAACGGGTTATATGAAAACTGAAAACTAAAATTCCAAAACAAAACTAATATTTTAAAAAAAACCAACAACTTTCTGTTATTCTAAAAAGGTCTTCTAATTTTATCGTCTGCTTTAATTTTATTGTTTATCTCTATGTGTTTTGTTTATTTCATTCATGCTTTTGCTAGCCCGTTATTTTTTAAAATTTTAACTTTTCTTCATGCTTTTACTAGCCAATTATTTTTTAAATATTTTTAGACTTTATAACTGGCAAACGCTTTGTAAAGGGATACCAACAGAAAAAAAAAATTAAAATATTATTAAGTGCTAAAATTGTTCCAATACATAGAACCCTGTGTCTAAGGGGAGGGGGCGGAATCCAAATTCTATAACGATAAACAAAAGCAGAAAGAACAAGTTGAACTTTTACCATATCATTCATCACGAATGATTTTTTATTTTCATTACCCTTCCCCATTAATAGTAGAATTAAAACTTTTCTATACATTTCCATGGGGGGGGGGGATAAGTGAGGATACAAAGGCTCAAAGCCAGTACTCAACCGACCGGATACGAACAGGTTTAATGATTAAAAGCAATGTAGTGAACCTGCTGTGCAGAGCCTAAAAAGGTCACGAACTTCAAAATCCGGGAACTCTTAAAACTACATAAGAAAACAAGTAGAAAAAAAAATTAATATCAAAATTGTTTCAAAACAAAGATGTTTTCTTCCATTATTTATAACGCAGCTGGATTCCTATCTAATTTTGATTTGAATAAAAATACCCGTGGAGGTTTTATTTTATACAAAATAATAAAAAAAAATTCGAAAATACCACTTAGAAATAACAGTTTATAAAAGATGCTAAAGCTATGCCATTAATCATTTTGTTGCGTATACTTTGTTTTGGTTTTAGTGTAATTGCTTTCTTGTAAATGGCGCAGACGAAGAAACAATAACAATCTGCATACAATTAATTCATTTTGAGTTTTAAGGTTCAGTTTTTAAATGTATGCAGTTTACTATCATCGTATTACTTTTTATATTCAGATACGGATTCTTTTTTTCTCTCAAAACATTTTTTTTTTTACTTAGAATAGTTACATACATAGTTGTCTATAAAAAGAATACTTTCAATACAATGGATTTTAATGGTTTTTTGTTCTCGGCATTGAAGATGAAACACTGCTTTATCACAATGCAATACCCTAAAACTTTTTTTTCACTTACTATGCAAATCAATATATTTTGCCTTCTTGAAAAAGCTTGATTTGCATTGTTCTTTTAAACAGGGTTTGTTCTCTTATAAGATTTTAATAGTGTGGCAGCAAAAATGGAATAAACATAAAAATAGTTAAATATTTGCGACCACCAATGCACATTATTTGTGTGTGTATAATTCTAATTCTATCCTACAACGTTTCTATAAAAATGTACCTTAACAAATAAAATTTCTCCCAGCGATTTTTCTATTAAAATTTTCGGAAACTCTCGATAACCTCGTTTATGCATAACGATGTAGCACGATTTTCTATTTGAAAATCAATTAAGTTTAATGATACTGATACTTGACCTAATATTCTTATCAAAGTTTTAATATTATTTTAATGTTTTGTAAGTAAAATTTGTATTTTCTCACAATTAATAATTGAGAAATTTAGAGGAGAAGAGATTCCAAGTAATATTTCTGAAAAAAAATCGACATTTCTCTAGGAAAGATTTTTTTAAAATACTGAATTAATTAGGGGACACAACATACAATGCTAATTACACTATATAACATTAATTTTTCCAAGTCTTTAAATTTTACAGCTATGTTGATAAAAGCACTTTTTGTATTTTCAGAAAAAAATTCCAGGTCCATTTGGTTGCGCAATAAATATTCAGTCAGCAGCCTTAGGAAATCTTTCTTTTGGCAATATTAGAACGCATTGAGTGCAAACGTTATGTTTCGAACAGTTTGAAAAAGTCAATAAGTGTCCAGGATTCATAGATTTTGACGATTGAAAAAAACTTAGATTAAAAAAAAAAGGCATCATCTAAATTTTTTTAAGCTGCATTTTGTCATTTTTGACAATAATTTGTTGACGAATGAAGTAACGTGAAAAACAGGTTTAAATTTTGAGAAAACCTATTCTAGCTTCGTTACATTCTTATTTTTAAACAGGTTTCCTTTCAACGCAAAAAAAAAAAAAAAAAAAAAAAAAAAAAAAAAAAAAAAAAAANAAAAAAAAATTGATATATAGTTTAAACTAGTAACTCTTTTTTTACCCAGTGTTTTATTAACGAACGATACAAATGATTTTTGAAATGGTTAAAATTGATAGTTGTTCTAACTAAGTTTTGTTCAAACTATGTGATCATATTATTTTGATTAAATTTTAAAATACATAATGCTGATTAATTTAACTTTTAAATGGTGATTTATAATTTATTAATATAATATAGCTGATAGAGATTTCAAAATTTTAATTTTTAAAATCAGAGTGAATAGCCAAATTATTCAACAACAAATAAGCACCTTTTAAGCACTCAATAAATATTTTTGAGCACTTTAAAAAATATCCTAATTAGGCATGGTTGGAAAGTTTTTGACAATTGACGGTTTTATCTTGTTTGAACCGTCAAGTCGAAAAAAAAAAAACCTTTTGGCATTGTTTTTGACAATTGTCAAAAAAATATGAAATTTTGATTCATGTAAAACGAATGGTGTTTTCATACGCTACGGACTGACAGTACGCCGAAATAGATTGAGGTTGAATTAATATGAAAACGTTGAATAGAACAATGTGAACTGTGTCTTTTTGCATAATTCGAAGCGAAAATCAACATAGTAAAGGAAAAATTTCATTTTGAGAAAGGGAAAATTAAGCACTTTTTAGAAAGCACCCACTGAAAAAAGCAGAAGCAGCTTTTAGCAAAAGAAAAAAGCAGCTTTTAGAAAACGAAAATCGAAAATAAGCACCTTTAAGCACTTTTTAAAAACGCTACGCACCCTGAAAATTGAAGTAATATTTAACAGAAAAAAATGTCTACTAATTTAAACATAATTTTACTATCCATTTTAAACTTTTGGCAGTTGATTAATGTGACATACACGTAATAATGCGTGTATACTAAATCAATATGCGCACATACCAAAGACATAAACAATAACTCCTACGCAATTATCCTTTAAAATAAATTTTACTGTATTGTTGAGATAACATATTTGGAACAAAGAAATTACATTCTTCGCGTTGATAGAAACCGCTTAAAAGAATGTATCTGAATGCTTTGTTAAAATGGCGATTATTTGTCGAACATATGATTGCACGAATTACGTTCTCTTTGCTCAGGAAACGAGATAAAAATCGCCAAGGACAAAGAAAATGAGCTATAAATAATGAAATACACACACTCTGTCAAGGATACGGCTTTCTAAAAAAAAATAATAAATAAATAAATACACAATAATTACCTTTGAGACAATTTTGTTTTTCTCCTTGTCATTTATTCAAAATCCCGTTACCCTTCTTTCTAGAAGCTATGGTTCTTTTTTTATTAACACTACTTTTTTTTTTTAATGTCTTTGACAGGTCAAGATCAGGGAAAGCACATGGAAAAATTACAAAACGAAATAAACAAATAAAGAATGTAAATGGGAAAAGAAAGAAGAATGAAAAGACAGAGAAGAAAAGGTTACACAGCGCGTGCCTCACGTTTGAATTACCGCATTTCTTCACATTGGTCGGGCGCAAAATTGCACCCGGTTGTCCTTGAGAGCTACAAGTTTTATTTTTCATTTTGTTTTCTTCTTTAATTTGCTAATCATTCTTTTCCATTGGAAACTAACCTTGGAAAAACCTCCGACCTGATACCTTCTATTTATCAGCCATGCTCTGTAACAAGGTATATTTCAATACGAAACAAGGTTGAATCAAAGGGTGGAAAAGGCGGGCGGGAAGGCATAGAGAAGATTCTTTTTATTATGTACCTTAATATAATCGTCTGAAATGGATTATTCTACTATCTTATCGTGACTTTGGAGTTGAGATGTGTAGGGGTTGGAGATCGTTTGGCTTATCTTATAAGATATTTCTGAGAAAAAATCTATCAAGTTCACCTTGTTGTCCAGAAATTCCAAACATTTCTCGTCGATTTTTATTCATTGATAGGTAATGATGAACTTTCACTCTAGCAAACTTCGAGATACATTGTTCTAAAGTACAAAATTGCCCTTGAAGTGAAAATGTAGCCTTTCAGAAAATTCTTTCATGGAAGCTTCACTTTAGCATACTAAGAGAAACATTATTCTTAAGAACATAATTACCCTTAAAGTACAAATGAAGTACAAATGAATACATTCTCAGAAAATTATTTGGCAATTTTCGAGAAACAATGTTCTAAAGTACATAATTGCTCTTTAAGTGTAAATGAACTCTCAGAAACTTTGGTTCAAAATTAAACCATAATTCGGTGCAACCTGTGTAACCAAATTCACATGGTGTTAAATTAAATCATCTTTGCTTTTTCTAGTTGTACATTAATACCAAGCCATGATAAAGATCAAGTTAATCATGGAAGTTTCCCTTAGCAATCCTTGGAGAAAAATTGTTCTAAAATACATAAATGCCCTTGAAGTGTAAATGAAGCCGCTTAGATGTTGTGTAAATGATGAAGCATAGACATCAAACCTTGGACCGTAATATCAGTACAGAACCATAATGTGGTTCAAATTATCTGCAAGCTTAATAACCTATTTTGCATGGTGTTATTTAAAAAATTATTAATTAACCCAATTTGCATAATAACATAATTTGAATAATACCTAATAAATCTACCCTTAATAACCTAATTTCCATCCTGCTAATTTAAAAATTATTGCATTAACTGCAAACCCTTTGCATAAACTGAAACTACGAACCCAATTTGCATACTAACCTAATAATTCCAACCTTAATAACCTAATTTGCATGCATCCGTTCAAGTTGAACATCGATATTGGAGTTTGCTACAATGGGAAGTTTTTGTAGCAGTTTTGGATGTCTTAGGAAAAAAAATACCCCAATTTAATTTATACAGGTTTTTGCAATTCTGTTTACAGATGACGCTGCAATCACAAAATAAAAATGGGGTATAAATTTATTTAAAATGGAGATATATCGGGAGTTACATGTCCTACTTGATGAAATTTTTTTTTTTAAAAAAAAACCTACGTTCGCATTTTTTAAAATTTGATTCGGGCTCTCCCTCAGACCAGACAGTCACTACGCCTCTAGGTGCTTTTCGAAGGCTATGCCGTCTCTAGAAATAAAGCTTTTTTTGCGAATAATATGCTAATTTTCAACCCTGATTAGAGTTTGCAACAGTTATTTACGACTATTGGACGTATTAAGCCTATATCTTTACCCAGTCTGGTTCACAATGTGAAAAAAAGCAACTTATTTTTGTAAAAACGATTTTTTTTAGTATCTAAAAAGTGACTCAAACGCTGCATTATTTGAGCACATAAAATATTGAGACGATATTAGAATGAGAGTTATTGAGATCATGAATATTGAGGATGAGAATTATTCGTTGCTATTTTTCATCTGGTTCGAAAAATCTAGCCAAATTGGTGATTTTTTTTAAAAAGTTCAATAACTTTCAAAATATTTGAGTTATATGTCCGTTGTAAATCACAGATAATTCTCTATGGCAAGATTGTATGGTACAGAGGTGGTCAACTTGCGGCTAGCGAACCACATGCGGCTCTCGATAAATGTACCCGAGTTCCCTTTTAATTTTTGTGCTATTATATTTAAAAAAAATTATTATCGTTCCGTATGTGTTTCAAAACGTCTTTTAATTTACTGAGAACAAATATGAAAGACTAAGTACAACGTTGTTCAATTCAAGGTGAGTTTTCCATTTCCAATATAATTATGACACAAAAAGCATCTGGAGAATTAGAATTAATAGAGATGTAAGAAGATCAAGCTCTACAATTAAAATATAAGTCGACGTCGATTACTGAATTTTGGAAATTTGTACCAGAATCGAAGTATCCTGAATAAAAAAAGGCTGATTGTAGAGTTATTTCAAAATTCGGAACAACGTACTTATGTGAATCATTTTATTCAACTTTAAAATTCGTGAAATCCAAACACCGATCAGTATTAACTAACCAGCATCTCAAAGAATTAATGAGAAGTCCTGACACCAATTATTCACCAAATTTTAAAGAATTATAAAGAAGTATAATAAATGTGTTTAATATTTAAATTCAATACACATATTTTGTACTTTTACTTTTTGTTCTCAATAAATATAGTTTACGTAAAAAAAAAAATTTTAATACCTCTTTTACATACCTTTTAAATATGTATTTAATTGCGGCTCGCGAAAAATTTAAAATTTTGAAAAATGGCTCGACTATCAAGGAGCTTGGCCACCCCTGGTATAGTAGTTTAAATTTATAATTTTGCCTCAAGAGTAAGGCATTTATACTAAGATCCTTTCTTTTTCTTCTTCTTCTGAACAAAATAGCTTCGCCTATTAAGGTATTTATGTTTTATATATATTACATTACAAAAATAATGATGTAATGCTGAAAATAATGATGATCTGTTATATGGAATCTTGATTTTTTTAAATTTAGATAGCAATAATTAAGATAATTTAAACATTAATGTACTAATGTCACTTACTTCATGATAGAATTTTTCACATCAAAGCAATGTGAAAAATCAGACTTGAATGTGTTAAGTTTGTTTTTAGAAAATGATGAGGTATTTTGCTTTGAATACATGGCTGCCAACTTATGTGCTTTCCGAATGAAAGGTTTCCTAGGTGTATGATATTCACTAACCACAGGGGTCCAAGGCGTTTTGGGCTGTTGATTCCAACAGTAGTTTCTCAGGACTTAATCTTTTGATAAACTAAAACCATTGCAAAATAGGATTAAGTATTTCAAATTAATACAATTTAAAAAGAAACTGCTATTTGAAAACTTATTCTTTGCATATTATTACACCACAAATACAATAAGTGTAATTATTGAAATTAAGAATAATTTCAGTGGAGAAAGTTGTTTTCCGTTAACTTTAAATTAATACCGATAAATTATTTTTTTTTAAAAATTGCTATTTGAAGATTTAATCTTCGTATATTATTATACCACAATACAATAACGTAATTATTGAAATTAAGAATAATTTTAGAGCTGCTTGAAGTTCTAGTTCTTTTCTATTAACTTTACATTAATACACATAAATTTTTATAAAAAAAAATATCTTTTTTCTTTCGTATAAATAACTAATTACATTGAATTCTAGCTGAACCCCCCCCCCGGAAATTCATATAATTAATAACGAGGGACTTTTTTTTTCTCAATGCTTTTTTTTCAACGATATTGAAATTTGTAAACAAAAAACTTTTCAACTTGTTTAAAATACTGTAGAATTGTGAGACCTTTAATTTAAATTAGAAAGGCAAGGCTCTTACATTTTGAGAATGGCACTTTGAGTTTAGTTTGAAAGGGTAACTTATGTACCGTTACCCCTTTGGCTGTGATCTCAAAATTTAAATTTAGTAACGGTTACCCAGGTTATTTAGTAGACAAATATCCAATGAATTACAGAAAACTTTCAACATTTAAAACTCATTTTTATTGCACCTCTAAATCTTCAAAAACATAATTTCACACATTTCCAAATGCCAACATGGGAATAAACATTTATACATTAATTAAAACAAAAATGCAACCTTAAAACACTCAAGCATAACCTTCAACTTCTACAGTTCAAAANTGATGTAATGCTGAAAATAATGCTGATCTGTTATATGGAATAGTGATTTTTTAAATTTAGATAGCAATAATTAAGATAATTTAAACATTAATGTACTAGTGTCACTTATTTCATGATAGAATTTTTCACATCGAATGTGTTAAGTTTGTTTATGGAAAATGATGAGATATTTTGTTTCGAATATATCGCTGGCAACTTATGTGCTTTCCGTTTTGGGCTGTTGATTCCACAGTAGTTTCTCAGGACTTAATCTTTTGATGAACTAAAATTATTGACAAAATAGGATTAAGTATTTCAAATTAATACAATTAAAAAAAAACTACTATTTGAAAACGCATTATATATGTATCTTATTACACCACAATACAATAACTGTAATTATTGAAATTAAGAAAAATTTCAGTGGAGAAAGTTGTTTTCCGTTAACTTTAAATTAATACTGATAAATAATTTTTAAAAAAAATATATTTTTTCTTTCGTGCAAATAATTAATTACATTGAATTCTCACTGAAAAATCTGGCCCCCAGAAATTCATATAAATAATAACGAGGTACCTTTTTTTTTTCTCGATGCTTTTTTTTCAACGATATTGACATTCGTAAACAGAAAACTTTTTAACTTGTTTAAAATACTGTAGAAATGTGAGACCTTTTATTTAAATTAGCAAGGCAAGTTACGTTCTGAGAATGGCACTTTGAGTTTTGAAAGGGTAATTTAACACCGTAAAAATTTATCAAAATGAGTAATATTGTGCGAAAATTGAATTTTACCCTCAACAATTTTTAAATTACCCTCGTGTACTATTTTATGTGTTTATTTCAAAAGATAATTAATTCTATCTCATTATCAAAATAAGAGAAAAATTTGTAGTTTATAAAAATAATTAAAGGCATGATAAAAGGCAATCTCTGTGCATATATTTTTTTAAAAAAAGTGAACTAACAAAAAATGATTAATTGATAAACAACTTGAAAGCTTTTTTCCATAATTTAAACTGAAAAGTATGAGAAAATGAACATTTAAAGGCGTATTTTTTTAAAGCAAATAAAAATTTTAAAATTTAAAATCTCTT